CGAATTGGAGGTTGAAGTTCTACCTCAACCGCCATATTCTTCAGACCTTTCGCCAACCACTATCACCTTTTCTAACATTTTCAGAACTCCCTTGCTGGAAAATACTTCATCAATCAGGACCAGGCAAAAAAGCCTTAGTGGATTTCGTGAATTTTCGACCACCCAGTTTTTACTTTGATGGGATTTCTCGACTGCTGTCACATTGGCAAAAGTGTGCTGATTCGAATGGTGCCTATTTCGATTAAATCCGATGAGTATTAAAAAAGTTACGATCGTTTAAAGTGAAACACCCAAAACGCTGAGAACTTTCCGGACAACCTAATAGTTTATTTGATGAGATTTCAAGACTGTGTTAGTTTAAGTAATACCCAAATGTTTTCTTCTGTCGGAACCCTGGGGACGGGTTTACATGTGGAGTAGCCTCAACTTTCAAACTAATCTGCATCTGATGGGTCCGTTATGCTTTCAAATCTACCACATTATGTTGCAGGAGTTCCTGGCGTGCTCATGGTGGTCGCGTTGCTGTTCTTCCTGTGCGGTTGGAAAATGTACAAGAAATACCCACCCAGTCGCGAAAATATCGCCGGTGCAGTAATTAGATGCCTGTGGTTGGCTGGAACGCGAACCCTGCTCGGGTAAGTAAATTTTCGAATTTCTTGTGGATACAGTAAGGAAAGCAAGCGTAAGGGGAAGGTAATGCTCCGCTGTTGAACCGCCTAAGAATTTTTCAAGATGTTCACAGGCGCATACGATGTCGAGATAGTCAACTCTAGGTGTTTCAGTGTGCAGACGCACCTTTTTTTACATAGTGGGGGGATGGGAGAAAAATGCATTCAATTATCGCGACACTGTCCTTTAGCGCTATAATGGTAATTTACTCGGAAAAGGCACCACACCGAGCCTGCTCAAAAGCCCCGAATTCTGTCTTGCTAGGCGTCCTTGCGCTATCCTACAGGTCTTGAGGATTTATCGTGCCACTTGCCTTCAAGACTCCTAAACAGAAGTTCTCAGGAGCTTCCGATCGATATCTATACTGTAAATTACACTGTGCCAGATAATGATGTGTTACAGGCGCTCGACAAAGCCTGTGGCTCATTGGTTGGATCGAGCTGCCCCAGAATTCACTCCAGAAATGATCCAAGCTGTGCGATCGTTCGTCAACGTTGCCGTAATCTTTGGACCGCTGGTGTTTTTCTGGGCTCTCTTCGATCAGCAAGTAAGAGCGTCTGTTCAAATTCTGCATAGCTTACCTTTTAGTGCAAAAATCACACGTTCAGGGCTCAACATGGGTACTGCAAGCCCGTCGATTAGACGGACGAATTGGATGGCTTACCGTACTCCCGGAACAGATCAATATTCTCAATCCGCTTATCGTTCTCATTATGGTACCGGTGTTCGAAGGAATCATCTATCCGTGTGCACGAAAGGTGATTTTGCCTATTATCTCTCGCATTTCCAAAATCACACCCAATTCAAAAAGATTGTATGAATTTGATGAATCGAAGGGAAGTTTGCAAATCAGCAGCATAATTATAAATCAGTATTAAGTGATTGGCGGCTATAGAATGCATACTCGTTCTGAACTCTACTTGCCAGCCAATAATGGCTTGAGTTGCTAAAAGCCCCATTGTAGCTGGGGATGTTGAACATGCAGGCATCCGAGTAAGGAATGGCCCGAAAATTGTGCACTCTGTGGATGCTCGTCCTTGCCCAGTGTGAGGAGAACTCGCAGCTGCGGTAGCGTACCGCTTTCTCCGCTCAAAAATGCACGGAAACGGTGCTGGAGGAAAGTGGTACTGCGGCTCCATGCTCCGTCTCGCGCTTCCGGCAAGACGCTAGCAATAGCCACACACGGTACTTGTCTGTGCCATCACTTCTGATTGTCCTCTACTGCTGAGTGTGTGTTCCGTTGCGGGCCTTGGCATCGACGCAAGTGCTGCGCCCCTAGAATGGCGCGGCACGGGGTTGACACCGGGGTGCCACTATCCTACAGACCCCTTGCCTGGCTTTTGAGCGGGAAAAATGGTACACTACTGCTGCGGTCCCACACGCAACATAGTTTTTTCTTAAAGACGGACCATACCCAGGCAGCTCGTAGGATTCCTTTCGTGTTTCGAGTGGTCTCGGCCAGCCGAGATTTGTCGCTCTCCCGCAACTCATGTCAACAAGGGTGACGAGGGCGCTTGCGAGCGTTATAAGCTATATTTACGGTACCGTCAAGGCGCCTTGCCTATGTGTCGTAGACGAGTATATTAGCGGTCGTGCCTTCAAGAACAGCTGCGACCCCTAATTTCATTCATTCCGTGTAGTGCCAACCTTGAGGGTTTTCCTTGGCATGAAGATCAGCAGTCCGGACTGACTCGTCACTCACCAGGATCGCTTTGCATTTACGGCATTTTTTTCTTCACAGTGAAACCACTCGAAAATCGTGTATCCTCAACCTAGCAGCCCCACGCGTCTACATGGAGAATTTCCTAGTACTAACTTAATTGTGATCTTTCATTTCACTCTTGCACTTAGAAACGTAGTTGGTCTAAAAGTTACACGCTCCACTCGTTCTGAAATGTTTCGACTTTTCATGAGCCTCCTTAGAGTAAAGAGCTAACGGACGTGCCTATTGATTTGTCTCGAGCTCCCTTGAAATTGAAAGCTCAACTGTACTTCACTGTTACCTAAGAAATTTTCTCGGTTATTAACGTTTTTTGCTAAGTCAGCAAAGTGAGTTTCGAGCTGAGGAAAGTGTTTCGACCTCATTTCATTGAACGACAATATTTCAGCTGTTCAAAGTGACACCTCTGCGGAAAATGGCCGTCGGAGGACTCCTCACAGCAACGGCGTTCATCATGGCAGGACTACTACAGGTTAGGAACATTACGCTAGACTGTATCAGTTTCCTTCACTCCTCAAATGCGGCATGTTTCCTCCAGGGCTTGGGATTTTTTGCCATTCTACATTCCTCTGATTAGCGGTATAAATTTTTCAAAAGAAGGAATCATAACGTTGGCATCTCTCAATACAAAGTGGCCATCGGAAAACCACCGATTGGAATTTGGTCCAGTATCCAGTGCTATTGTATTCAAGAAACTTACTCTGTCAGTTGATATCGTCGCAATCAGTTGAAGCGATTTCAAGTATCATAGAATGGACTGAGGCGTTTTCTATCTCTAGTTAGTTCTTTCCTGAATCTCCCATCGGTGACTTGAGCTCATTATTTTTTAAAAGAAATTGCAGCCGAGCGCGGGCTCATTCGCCCCTCCTGACACTGTCCCGACTGGTTGCAACAATCTTGACTATATCCACTAGAAAGAACTAATTTTGTCAACGTCTAGTTCATAATTAATTTTGCAAGTTTTATCAGTTTCCAGTTGGAAGTGAACAAAACGATGGAGTCGCTCCAGCACCTGGTCGCGTCTACCTACAGCGCTCGGGTGTTTAACGTCCAGTCCGTCCACTCATATTCAACGGGCTTCGGTCACTCTGCATCCTTGATAGGTCGAATTACTGTTGATATTGGCTCTTAGAAACTTCCTAGCATCGAATATTATACTTGTGTAGGGGTTCAACATGAAGATGGGTGAAATGGCAATGCGGGGGAATTTCCTCTTCCACTAGCACCCCCTATAGTTTCCTCACCCGGTGCAAAAATGTCCCGCGAACTCCTTCACGATGTTACCTACCACCTTACCAAGCTTTCCTACCATCATACCATTTTTTTTCAAATTTTCACTAGTTTTCCTACAAATCACCGGGCCGTCGAACGAGGGGCGGCGGAGGGCTGGGTTCCAGTCAATCGACTATCGGGTCGTCATTCCATTTACAGATCATGCTATGTCAGTTATAAAAACAGCCTTCTGGCTGCTGCCATTTCAAGGTTAGGGATATAAAGCGCGCGAGACACGGAAGAAATCAACCCAAATTTTCTTTGCGATTCGGCAGAATTTCTTTCAAGACCTAACAGGGCTCCTTCCCTACCGACCAAGTGCGGCCTGATGGAAAACTCATCGTCAACGACGGACGCTGCCTGTATAGCACTAAGTATACAGGGAGACCCTTAGAGACACTAAATACATGGTTACCGTGTATTTCGCTCGCGGGGAGCACGTCTGTTAAAAGGTCAATTCGAGCAACAATTGCCACTTGAAATTTTGTTCTTTGTATTAAGCGTTCACCTGATATGCAGCCGTCTTCCTTAAAGGCAGTTGGCACGTAAGTCCCCCAAGACGTATAGGATCAATACTACTCCTGGCAGGATAGAATTCCGCGACCCTGGGCAGGGGCTGCATAGCGGTTTCCCCGAGGAAGGTGCCCTTATAAGAGCCTAATAAAGCACACTTAAAGTCCCAAGCGCCGCCACGCCCACCTGCCACAAATGGACGGACCGTTCCTGACCCTTCGTATTATTCATCTTGCTAAGCAAAATGATGAGCGAAAGGGTATTGCGTATTGAGAGCAGCCGTTGATGCTGGCATGCATATTATGCGCGTACCAATATGCAGCCGTATCTTCGGTAGCGGTGATTGGCAAGATGCCTACGGGAAACTCGTCCGAAATCGATTTACAAGTCACTGAGAACGGAGGCTTTTTCTTCGCCAGGCATTTTTGTCTCACTCCGTCTTTTGCCATTTCCCCCACTACATAGCGCCCTACTAGCATTTTAGGTTAACTAGGAAACCATCGTGTCAACTGCCTTTAAACAAATTGTCTACACGCACAAGGATCTAGCATTCAATGCTCAAGATTAGCGTGACGACCGGGCGGCAGCGACCCCAACCGGAACCGGACAGAACAAATTCAGCGATGAATCAGATGAGGGTATTGTATCGAGCGCAAAGACCAACCAACTGTGTTGTGCTCTTTGAGGCGTTTCCTCCTCGTTTTCGTTATTAGGAACAGGACATGTAAGGCCCTGCACCATCTAACCTCAGAAGCCTGCAGTCCACTCAAACTACTACTATAATTCACATGTTGTATAACTTTTGCTGTGAAGCGAACAAAGCTGAAAAAATTTTTTGAAGGTGATCTGCCAACAGGAAGAACGGAGATCGATGCAGGATTGTACAGCATTCAGGCTGGAGATCAGGTAGGCGTGTGTTTTCAGTTATTTATCTAGATGCCGAAACATTGCGGCGCATTGATTGCTTGATACTTTTCAGTTGAAGCAACCCAAAAAGGTAAAAATTGTAGCTGTAATATAGTGATCATGAATAGGACTTTTAGTTCAGTGCCACAGCTTTTTTCAATCAAATTCACCATGAACCTGCACATAAGTGGCATTTACACTTCAGCGTGATAGATCAGTCTCCACGAAGTGCCAAAATCCTGCCCAAGGCTGTCAGGAAATCCTGCACATACATTACCAACTAGAATTTTTTCTGATATTTAAGGCTGTAGAAGCCTTCTGTGGAGCATTTCCGCCTTTCCCAGCTGCCCCTTCCCTTCTAACATAGCTCTATTACTGGGTGATAATCCGGTTTTCAGAGAAATTCTCAGAATCTGCTTGAAATATAATTTCTATTTTGAGTGTACGGCTTAAATTCAGACTTTTCAAATAAAATTCAAGTGTTGATTAAACTTTCCTCACTAGGCACAACTGCAGGTCCAGCTGCGATAGCCACGCATACACTTTAGCATGGTAGTGATTTATTTATTGTCATTTCCTAATTTGTGGATCACGGGCGGCTCCTCCCACTTCTTGCAGACTTTGTTGCATTTCAAATTTTCTTATTTTGTTCAACGTCGTCAATTTCAAATCCACGCGGCGAACCTTGACACAATAAGGGTACTCATAGGCATGCATTCATTGGCTGACACATTATGGTCGCACCGTGGCCACGCCCACTTCTGCGTCTTTTCGCGGATCGTTGACCCTTTTCCAGAATTTTTACATTTTTGGGCTGCTGCGTGAAACCCCGGATACTGAATGAGAAGCCCCGCCCACTCCGTAGGAGCCCGCCCATTCTGCGAAATGCCTCATACCAGCTGGATAGAGTCTCAATTAGTACTTCAGAGTTTCACTCGTCCCGAAGCAAGCCTTGCCCGTTTTTTTTTGTTCCAAGTGCACGGCCTCTCTAGGCTAGGCGGATAGCAGTATCGAGTTCTGAGAGTCTGAATACT